ACATTTTGGCTTGCTTTTGTTCTAAATGATGCCACAGCAGTTTGTTCTTCAATTTCGCTTGAAGTATCCACCTTATTATTATTATTATTTATATTTTTTTATTAAAAGGCTGGTTGATTGTTTTATTTCTAGGCTTGATCGTGTTTATGGGGTGCTACTCCCCCCAGGGTAATTATGCGCTTATTCAGTCCAGCTCAGGTTTTCTTTCATGAACTCTGGACTACCCTTCCATCACATAAGCACTTTTTCTTAGCAAAGTTCGACGGAGTAACTTGCTATTAGAACTCATTATGAGGTAGTTTCCCTCGAGTGAACTCTTGTATTGGGTTAGTGCTACACATGTAGTGGCTCCTCTTGAGGCCCCATGTGTGTATTCTTCACTGTATTGCCCCTGAGGCTCAGTGTTCCCCTAGACAGACATTCTGTCGATATGTTCTGGGTTTTGGTAGATCTCCCCTTATGCGGAGCCCACCCCAGTACTTTCCCTATGTGGTACTTCCTCTGTAAGTCCATAGGTGGATCTTCACATGTTACCTCCCCATCGGGTAGGATGTGATCTCCGTAGTGCCTTTTTCCCTAGGGGGAATAGTCACTGTCCCAACGTTACTACCAAGACTTTTCAGTTGTTATATTATGGTGAGTATTACTAAGGGAAAAGGCTCCGGCTGAGGGGACCTCTGCCTCTATGATGGCTCTCCCGGATGTTGGAGAGTGAGGTCTTAAGTCTTGGGCGTTGGAAGGTTACGAGGAGGAGAGGTGCATTTGGTTGTGACACGTTGGCTTGTCAACATCTGCGCCCCCGTGGACTTGTGATGCAGTTCGGCAGTTGTGGTGTTTAGTATAGGGACCCCTAGTGTCGTACACTCGACACAACGTCGGAGTGAATGAAGGGAATGTCTCGGTTATGTATGGTAACCCTCGTTCCCTGATGGAGGGAACAGATACGTTGTGTCCTTCATGCCACAACTCCGAATTGCCTCTGAGTGGGTTGAGACGCTTCTTGACTCCTCAGAACAGAACGAGTGAGCAGATGCCACGCTGGCCTATTTATACCCGGATGTCCAGGGCATGACCAGCTATGCAAATTCTGCACACCCAATTTCATTGGCCCTTTCTCAAGATGTCAGAGGTGTTTGGGCTCCCAAGAGTGACCCCTAGTGTCATACACTTGAGGGTTACCATACGTGATCTGAAGAAAATGTGAGTGGTATTTGCCCATCCTAGGGTGCTGTGTTTTAAGTGTTTTAAGGCTCTGACACACCAACCTGACATCAAAGAACCTGAGGCAACCAAAGCAAACTGCAGTGTTGCTTCACAATAGCTTTTTCCCCTTAAAATAGTTTGATTAGTTACAAGTAAAAGGAACTTTCTCTCTTGCACTGCCATCATGTGCAGCTTTGGCCATTCGTACATAGCCTAAACAAAACTAAATAATCATATTGTGAACAATAATCCCAAATTGCATCTGAGTTCAACTGATGAAAATGACTGAAGCATGTAAAATGCTGTAAAACTGAAAACGGACCCTTAATTCTCTCAGGTCTCTTGGTATGATTCAAGGCTTGGATATTTTTAACCAATTCTTCATTCAAAAATTGTAAGCATGAACTCTTGGAAAAGTAACAGCATTCTTCAGGGCTTTTCACAATGCATCTGACCCTAGGTAATTATCATTGTTCTAAACCTTGCTTTTATCCCCGGATGAAAGAAACCTTTCACATTTGTTATTTTGTAATTTAGTAGGGGGCTAGCATGTCTTTATGACATCTTTATGAGTACAGCTTTTGCACTTTTCAAATGCAGTAATTTTAGCATTTGATGGGGAAAATGTCAAATGATGATGGAAATTGCATCAATTGGAGTGAGGCCCTGACGTACTCAATGTTGTTTTTAGTTCTTTGTTTCGGAGTAGAAAGAAGTTCAAAATATCTGAGCAGAAATATGTGCTGCAGGCTTTCTTTTTAATAGCAAAATAAACAATGAATAAAAATGCACGGAGAAAACAGCAGTCAAGAAAGCATCTGATCATAGTGATGGGGACATATTTGCATCAGCTCTGTAATTGAACACTCCAATCAGTATTTATTTAAATAGCAGTTTGTACAATAGATCACTTTAAATCAAGAAACTTTTCCATTTTTAAGCTTTACAGTACTCAACATGAAAGTGTCAGTGCTAGAATTACAACTTCAAATATTACTACAAAAAAGCTCCCCAATGTTTTTACTCGTGTCTCCATGGACTGAACAGAAGAAATAAACCAATGATCTCTACATTGGAGAAGGTGGAGCCCCAGAGCATAGCTACCTGTTATGTTATTGCCACAAACCAAATGGTAGTTTAAAGGTGTTTACCAGCTAGAGCAAACTTTTTTTTGGAAAACTTTAGCAAGCTGTTTTAAACCCCCAAAACGAGCTACATTTTGGCTTGCTTTTGTTCTAAATGATGCCACAGCAGTTTGTTCTTCAATTTCGCTTGAAGTATCCACCTTATTATTATTATTATTTATATTTTTTTATTAAAAGGCTGGTTGATTGTTTTATTTCTAGGCTTGATCGTGTTTATGGGGTGCAGTCTAACATGTATTAATCATTTGTTTTAAAAAAGAAAACGCATAATTTTTCACATAATTTACCTTTATTCTACACCGCTCTGTCCCTTCTCATATAAACGCGCTGATGATTTCCTGGTTTTATGAAGCCCCTCCCTCAGAAATACACGATGGGCTCAGATTGGTTAGCTGGCCCAGTGTGTTGTGATTCGCTAAACCACCAGTGCGTGTCTAATCGTCACGCCCCTCACCTCACCTCAGTGCATGTGCTCCGGTTGGATTGTAAACAATGGCATCGTCTATATTGCTTATCAATTTGAGCCCGATTGTGACGCAGAGGATATTAGTGAAGAGGATCATGCAGAACCTGTGCAAGCTATTAGATGATTTTTGTGATTTTTGATTATCACTTTTCCCCCCTTTATTACTTTATATTTGCTTGTATGTTTTGAAGATAGATTTACTTTGTTTAATAAATACACTATGGGCTCAGATTGGTTAGCTGGCCCAGTGTGTTGTGATTCGCTAAACCACCAGTGCGTGTCTAATCGTCACGCCCCTCACCTCACCTCAGTGCATGTGCTCCGGTTGGATTGTAAACAATGGCATCGTCTATATTGCTTATCAATTTGAGCCCGATTGTGACGCAGAGGATATTAGTGAAGAGGATCATGCAGAACCTGTGCAAGCTATTAGATGATTTTTGTGATTTTTGATTATCACTTTTCCCCCCTTTATTACTTTATATTTGCTTGTATGTTTTGAAGATAGATTTACTTTGTTTAATTCTTAACAATAATTAATTAATTAATTAATTATATATTAATTAACGTAATTATTTTAAAAAGTTGCCTGCTTATATAATTTAATAAAAATGCACAAAATAAATTTGATATAATCATGATGCATCGTGATATCGAATTGAATTGAATCGAATCGAATCGTTGACATGATAATCGTAATCAAATTGAATCGTGAAACCAGTGCCGATTCACACCCCTAATTTAGGTAGTACGGGGGGCACATTCCCTTCAAAAACAAACATAATCCACTGCGTCTTCAGCGGCTCAGATGTCGGAAGTAAATGACGACTGCTATGTTCATTATTACATCCAACAACAAAGCACCTCAATCGCTCAGGAGACATTCTTGTCTACATCCGCTCCAGTGGTGAAACAATGGCGGACTGATGACAGCTCACTCAGGGCGGGTCTAAGGTAAAACGCCAGTGTCAATAAACAATCGTGGGAGGGGCCTGGGTATGTGTGATGTCACACTGCCAAGAATCTGAGATCGGCTTGATTTGAAAAGGGGACATTATTTATATGGATTAAAAAAAAAAACACTGGGTGGATTTTTATCATTATAGGGTGGTTGTGCACACACACTGCCAATACACATTTCAGTTCAAACGACTTGTAAAAGTGAATTTTGCATCCGATGACCCCTTTAAAAACAAAGGTTCTGCTAAGGTAAGACGCCAGTCCAGTCTGTGCTGAAACACTACTGTCAATCAAACTATCGTGGGAGGGGCCTGTCTTTGTGATGTCACACAGACAGGCATCTGAGATCGGCTCGATTTGAGAATGGGGAAAACATTTAACCAGATTAAAAAAAAACACTGGGTGGATTTTTATCATTATAGGGTGGTTGTGCACACACACTGCCAATACACATTTCAGTTCAAACGACTTGTAAAAGTGAATTTTGCATCCGATGACCCCTTTAAAAACAAAGGTTCTTTATTGGCATCAGAGGTTCTATTCTATAAAGAAACTTACACATCCATGGAACCTTTCAAATGCAGAAAAGGTTTGTTATAGTCGAAAAAGGTTCTTTAGGTTTCTAAAATGTTCTTCAAAATGGTTCGTTTAGGACCTGTTCACTGAAAGGTGAATGGCATCACTGCAAAAACACAGTTTTGGAAGCTTTATTGTTTGAGAGTGTACAGCACACACACAACTTTAACAGACACATATTTTATTGGAGTTTCTCCTGTATTTGCCTGCTGTGTCAGTCTGAGACCGCAAAGAAGTGTCCAAACGCACCTCCTCCTGTCCTCAACGCACTGTCAGAGCGTAATGAAACACAAATGTGTGCCTGATAAGAATCTTCAAAAGAAAAACTCATCATATAATCTTGCATGATATTTGATATTTCTCTGCTATCAGCTGAGGACAAGGGTGGATGGCTTGATATTTAAATAGAAGGGTCGCATATTTTTGTAAACTCTTAGAAAAACAGGGCCATCTGTTGACTACTTCCAGCTGTCTATATGCGCTGCAGACAGCAAAGCAGCTCTCTAGGTGTTGGAATAGAGAAAGTTTCTAAAATATATTATTGTTGGGAGTCTTGAATGAAATCCATTGGCAGATGCAGTGTCTGCTTCATTACACTACTGAGGATTAGCTTCTGGCGGACTAGGATGGCTATGAAGAATCTCTCTCACCTTCCCTTCAAGGCGTGCGGTACCCCCTTGGCAGACGCGGGTATTACGTGGCGGGAGGGTAAAAACAGGGGGCTCTTTGCTGGGGGAACCTCGTCCCAGAGTCAGAGTCGTCTTGGAGACATGAGATCCCATAACAAACTGAACATCACCCATCATTCTGCAAACACAAGAACATCAGAAGAGTTTTAAATTCCATGTCAAGTTCATATAAGTAGTAGAAAAAAAATAAAATAAAACTAAACAGGTACAACAATGCAATGCATTCTCAATGAAAAGACAATGAATGCATTAAAATGAATGAACTGACTGTAGTTTATATAGTCAAGTTTTTTTTTTTTTCTTTTTTAAGCATGGATTATGATCCCTCCATTGAGTTTCAGGATTGTCATGAATTTCATATGACCTATACTAAATTCTTCATGTTCACACAGATAATTTAGGACCATATATGTTCATGCTTTTGATCGGCCCTCTTACTGTATAGGGGACATAAGGATTTATTTATTTATTTATTGCATGTATTTGTTGTCACATAACCACTCTCTCTTTCTCTCTTTCTATGCTTTCTCCTTGCAGCTTAATGTGAAGACAATTATAAGTGATTCACTGATAGGTTGAATTAATGGTAGATGGAGAAGTGTTTGGAGAAACCCATTTGAAAACAATCATTATTTTTGCAATTCCATTTGGTAATGCTAGTGGCACAGAGATGTCACATTTACACTAACACTAACAACAAGTACGTGTTATAACATAGTTAGAAATATTTATTATTCAACCCTTATGAAAAAATAATATTACCTAGCACAATCAAGTATTCAAGTTTAAACCTGAACTTCACTTCATTATCCAAGGAAACCCTCTAGCTGACCACAGACCAAGTGATACTTTAAATGGTGTTCATAAATCTGCATCTTCCCTTAAAAGGTCAAAAACTCCTTCACGACCGTGAATTTAAGCTGATTTATGAGCATGCAGCAAAAAGATCTTTGCTGAAACATGTCACATTTGACCTCTGAGTCAAAGTGTAACCATATGGTAGGCCTATCCTAAATCCAGTGGACAGGCAATACCGTGACAAATGTACTTGCATATTTTACACATACAAGCACAAGCACACTCAAATACATGTCAAACAGACACAGTCATTTCCTCTTTTAGAGGTCTGCAGATTGTACCACATGGGGCGACCACATCCCAGGCTGAACACATTAGCCTGTCGCAGTGAGCGGTCAGCACAGGCTGTGCACTCCAGACTTACATAGAGGATGTTTTTACACTTGATTCAATTGGGTAATCAACAGAATCAGTCGACTACCACCATGAGTGACTAGTATCCGAGTTCTGAAGAGTACTTTTATACCAACCAAAACAAACCAAACTCTGATAACAAACAGACTCGCATCAAAAGCTCCAGTGTGAACACACCCTTAATCAGTCACCGTGCATTAATTATTAATTCATCTGCATCTGCCGAAAGGAGAAACTTTAATTAAAGGGTTCAAATGTGACAGAGTGCAGCATGCATGCAAGGCATGCAACCTCACAAAATAGGTAAATAAAGCTGGATGTTTGATGGGCTTTCCTTTCTCTCTCTCCCTCTCTCTGTCCAGATTTTTCACCATTGTGCTTATTGGCAGACTTCAGACATGCTTTCACATGGTTGTTTTTGAGTAATGGCTTCTTTTGTACAACACTCACATACAGGCCAGTGTTATGCTGAACTCTTGATATGGTCGACTGGTCCATCTTCAGCCTGTTCTCAACTACTACTTGAGCTCATACAAAGTGATTTGTGGTAGTTATATTAATTAACCAACCAATTGCAAGGCAGCTGTGTAGATCTAGGGGCAAAAACACGCAATGGGACCGAATATTTTGTATTTATATATTTTGCAAGAGTGCATACTTATTTGGACTCGTAAACACATCCAAGACTCCTTATGGCATAGACACTGCCCAACATCCCCTAATTCCAGTCCAGCAAACATCCCCAAAAACCTGCATTAAGTACTCTATTACTCATTTAGAGTGAGCTACTTTTTTTCTATTTCTTTACTAAATAACCAAAAGGAACCTGAGTTAAAGTCTTATATTACAGTATTACTCTGTCCAATCTCTCATACCTCATGAGTTCCATTCAAAAGCTTGTTGCAGTCAGTCATGATTTAGACAAAAATGAAGGATCTTCGACATCAAACATGTTGAAATGTACACAAATGCCAATGAGATCTGAGACCTACACAGAATGAACTGTTGGCAAATGACAGTAATCATTTTGGGTTAATGATGGAGATTTAAAGGGTGCAGAACGTAGAACATGGTGTACCACAGTTCCACCAATCCTGAAGAAATTGCTAAGCCTTCCATAGAGTTCTGTGGGCACGGAGTCTTTGTGAGGCTGGTCTCATAATCTCCACTATCATATGCATCTCTATAACACAAGACTGATTCAAAATACAGCAGAAATCAGGGTGCACGAAAGAACAGTGGGTTCAATTTAAGACATGACTTTAATGTTTTCAAGACTTTCTTTTATTACCAAGTGAACATTCAGTTGTTGTTAAGATTAACTATGAGTTCCTGCTGTATTAGTTGAGGGTTTCCAATCCTGCTCCTGGAGGGCTGATGTCCATTAGAGTTTAGTTCCAGCCCACCCAACACATTTGCCTGGAGGTTTCTAGTAATCCTAAAACTTTGATTAACTGATTCAGGTGTGTTTAATTTGAATTGGAGGTAAACTCAGGACGGTGGCCCTCCAGGAGCAGGATTGGACACTCCTCTGTTAGGTAGTCACTTTTAAACTGATATAAATTGACACAACCAGTTTTCTCAGTTGATGTGATGAGTAATGTGATGTGTAATTCCCGTGCCAGGAGCATCGTCAAACACCCATAGAGTAATACAGGGATGCTGGAGTCTATCCCAGCAGTGATGGAAATGCCTAATTTTGAAAAAAAAATCCCGTAATTCGTAAAAAAAAAGTTTTACGCTCACTTGAGGTGGTTTTTGACTTGTGCGAAAAAGGGTTATTGCAAATAATGGGAGATGGAAATGCATTTTGTGAATAAATTCCTCCAAGCGCATCAAAAAAGTCATGTGACTATGCGCTATGGAATGGCAAAACCTGACTAACCAGCGGACCGATCTCATTCCACAGCATCTGAAATGTTGTTATGGTCATTCGGAAATGCCCGAGCAAAATCTGTCATCAAAGTATTTCTGTATAATTGCCTCCCTGAATGTCTTACAGTATCCACCTCAGAAAGCAATGACCACATTCGTCTGCTCGCTCTGAGACACAAGTAATTTATTATAGATGAAAATTATTATATTCAGTAGCTTCTCCTACTTTTCTTAGTGATTTATAGTGCCAGTTTACCAGGAAGTGACGATTTTGTTCTCTTTGACTCGTTGAATGGAAACGGTGCTTGTTAGCAAATGTTTTATGCGATATTGCGCATAAGTTAAATTCACAATTTTGGATGGAAACCTGGCTACAGTCCTGCAGAGTTTCGCTCTAACCCAGCCAAAAGTAGCTGTAGAAAGCTACATTCAGGTGAGTTTTTATCGAGGCTGGAGCAAAACTCTCCATGACTGACGTTGGCCACCCCATAATCAAACAGAACAGCAAAAATCGCTGTCTCCCAAACAAAAACGAAGCATTCTCATTGTTAGTCCCTGTGTTTGGACAGACAGAAAACAACTGCCCTAACAAGACTCAAGGGTGGAATCCAATGCTCTCCATTGACTTTATATTGCGGGAAGCTGCCTCCTTGTCATTTCTGACTTATAACAAAAAAACAGAACAATACCTTAAAACTGCTGTGTGACAAGGTGTACAGCAAACAAGCTAAAACCCAGAACTATGTTTTTATAGGCTGTCGACTTAAAAAAACGAGCGTTGAAGGACACAAATATTTGTAGGTTTCAGGGTATTTCACGTTGGGCCGTTCAGTTGGATCATTTCTCAAACAAAAGGAAGGTAAGGAAGGGGCACTGACATAGACCAATAAAATTTAGTTTCTCAATATATCTCTTCTTCTTAGGTTCACACAGGATGGTAAAATAATCCTTTGACATGGTTAAAAATAATGAATGTTTCCTGTCGCCGATTACGTTTCCCTCCAGTGGGCGTAGTTCTCAGAGTAAGACATGTTGCGCTCTACTTTTGTGTCTTTAAAGGGATAGTTCACCCCAAAATGAAAATTCTGTCATTACAGCTTATAAAAGCATAGTTCTGGGTTTTTTAGCTTGTTTGCTGTACACCTTGTCACATAGCAGCTTTTATACATTGTTCTGTTTTTTTTTGTTATAAGTCAGAAATGACAAGGAGGCGGCTTTCCACAATACAAAGTTAATGGAGAGCGTTGGATTGTTTTCCCCCTGGTGGGCGTGGTTTTCAGATTATGACGTGTGTCGCTCTGTCTCTATTGGCTTCCAACTTTTGAATAACGGATTTTAAAAAACCAACTGTAAGGAAATCATTAAATGTAGTGTTTCTGGCAGCTTCAAAAAATAGCAATAAAGAGAATATTTGGAAAAGGGTGCAAACAGCCTCTACATGTCTGGATGTCCCAGTGGGCATTACTAGTTCAATAATTAGAAAGTGTGAGTTACAACAAACTATGCAAACACGTTCTGCACTAACAAGACAGAGACTTGCAAAGGACCAAACATCACCAACTGCACCAGTCAACCAAACTGAGAGCTATGAATGCCAGTGTCGCTCAAAAACAACTGTATGCAAGAAGAGCATGTCTGGACAATGGCCAAACTCTTTCGATCAGCTAAGACAACTGATTGTATTTCATGATGTTATTTTCCTGTCACATGGCATTTATGGCCCTGGTGATTGGCTCAGAAAGTCCTGTGGTCCCATGAGCAAAGATGTCAGATTTCAAATCCAGCACTTCCAGTGATTCATGCATCAGAAAAGCAACTGCCATGAGAGATGAATGAAAATGCTAATGGATAGCTTTCTCCACCTGGTACAGACCTCCTTGCACGGCCATGTTCTCAGTCCAAATTAAAGCCAAATTAGACTTTAGTACAAATTAGAATTACATTAAAGCTGGAATACATATTATTAACAATAAACGGTTTTTGCATAGAGTTTTGCCCCAAACTGAAGTCTGGATGAGTCAAAACTAGTTG